ATATATATATATATATATATATTTACGAAATCTATTTCATCCTCTGTCTACTAAATCATTATGTTTGTAAAGTCTATAAAGATTACATTTTTTTTTTTCTTTTTTTGAATCAGAATAAAGATTACATTTTTTAAGTTTACAGAGTAATTTAATTATCTTTTATTTAATAAATCATTGATTAGTTTAATTTTTTTCAAAATATTTAAGAGGAGTACCTTAGATTTTAATGGTTACAAAGTTACGTAACAAATTATCACCATTCTCCCTATATATAATTACAGAATGCGCTGAGCCTACGTGACTGCTTCTGGTGCTTCGTAATCCTACTTGGCGAAGAATCATGCTTCGTAATTAGGCTTAGACAAATAATATTGATATATTAATAAATAATAATTTAGATTTGGACATTCCATAAATATTATTTAGCTAACTTAGGTATTTTAATATATTCCTTACTTTTGATTTGTTTTCTCCAATTAGCTATTGAATTGTAAATGTACTTTAAAAGTTGATAACTTTTGTATTTCTTATCGGTTTTACATATATAATATATCAAATTAATCATCTTTTGATGATCTTCGATTTGACATCCATATTGTATATATGAAATAAATAAATTATATTTATTTTTATAATAATAAAAAATAATAATATTTATTAAAATTCATTAGAAAAATAAAATTATTTCTCAATTGATATATTTATGTTTAATGTAGTTATTTGTTGTAAGTTAAAAAAATTATTACAGTATAACACATGTAAGTCGGAGAAATAAAAAGTGTCATACTAACTATATAATAATATATATTTTTATAAAAGGTATTTTGATTTTCAACTATTTTTCTCATTAATTTTATATTTTAAGAAATAAATTAGCACACACCCGTGTAATACACGGGCGTTGTACTAGTAAATTAATGAATAACAAATATTGACTATGAAAACTATATATTTTTGTAAATGCTATCAGTTAACCGTGGTCCGTGAATTACATATAGATCACAATTCAAAAAAAAAAAAAATTCTAAATGTATTATTTAATACATTATACAATTGACAATTTGACATTATAATATTTATAAATTAAAGTAAAAAATAAATAAAAAATTTTATATTCAAAATCATATTTGAAATGCTTCACAAAATAGGACCATGGCCAAGAATCATAACCAGTTGCTTTATAAATGACCAATAAAAATGAAAAATGATATTAGTATATGGACTAGATGGATAAAAAGTATAGACATACAATTAGTGTCTTCGGAAAATATTTTTCAATTATTATTATTTAAATTTATAGTTTCTGCTATGAAATTGGTAACTTATGAGTAGTAAATAATTAAAACATCGAATAACAAAAGTTGATAACTTATATGAGTAGTAAAAAATTAACCATTCAATAACAAAAGGTGCGAACTCTCTTAGAAACCAATGATGTTCAACCATAAATTATTGAATCTCCTAATATTATTATGTTAATTAATTCTGAATATCAATTAATCCTACATTAACATTTCATCATACATAAGGTACAGAACTTCTCAGTGAACCACTTGATAAAACTGATGTAAAATTGGAATCATAGATATTTATGAAGAAAATGATTGATTTCAACTTCAATTTAAAAATTATATTTGATAAATTCAGTAGAAAAAAATAGAGGAAAAGTGAAATGAATGAATAATATATATATAAATATTTACTGCAAAATTAAATATTTTTTTTTTCTCGTGTCCAATAGCACCAGAAAACATTCGCCCTACAGAATTTGTTTTACAGATAACACTGAGAAGCATTATGGGTGAGTGATTGTCTGCAACTGCCATTCTCAGTTGACAATGGTGTCCTCAAATTATCAAATATTTGTACTTCAACCCCAAACAACAACAAAGCCACTCAAGGATATGTTCCTCCGAAAGGATCACCACGAAAACCAAAACCCCATAGCTCCCAAGTGTAGAAAGCAAGAACATTTAAACTTACAGAGAGACCCAACACAATACAGAACAAGAACAAGTTGCAAAAGTTCCTTTACTTCCCTTTTTGCTTCTAACAATCCTACTGTCTCCATGTTTTCCTCTATGCGTGACCATCGGCTTACAAAAAAAACGCCTCACATGGCCAATTCCGAGTCCAAATCCAAATCAAAATCACTCAACCAGAAATTACAATCTTCCTCCCTCCCAGGCTTTAAGAAATCCAAATCATAATCGTAAACCGAAAGTGCCTTCTCATGATGCAAACTACCATAAGACCCCTCGTGTGGGATAGGCGGCATATGATTTCCATTTGTAACCCGCACCATTTGGTCACCGTCTTGACAATATGAGTTCAACTCGGAAAGCAGATCATCCACATCAAACATCTCTTCCTTTCGGAAGCTCTCATTTCCCAACGTGTCACGATTTCCTAATGAACAATGTTCATCATCCTTTACGACCTTGTCTAAGTTTATCTTGCTATCTCTCTTGATTACTTCATCTTCTTTCACATCTGTTACTTCTTTTTTCAAGACTGCTAATGGAACACGAGAAACCTTCGACAAACCTTCATTATCATCGGTTTTTAACTTGTGAACGTGTTCTTTCAAGACAACCATATCATGACAAACCTCCGAGCAGCCAGAGTTTGCAGCTGAGTTGGATGATGTTGTAGCAACTGCTGATGAAAAATCCTTAACATCCTCGCTCGAAGGGAAATTAAGACGGGCAAACGTGCCGTACATAGCTCGGGCAGCCTCATCGTAAGCACAGGCAGCCTCAGGTGCACTGGAATACGTGCCGAGCCACAACCTGTTTCCCCTGTGTGGCTCTCTGATCTCAGCCACCCATTTTCCCCATGTTCGCTGCCGAACGCCTCTGTACTTACAGAGTGAGTTCTCGGGCCCACCTTTGCCTTTCATGCAACCCTTTTTGGATCCCTTAGCCGGTGCTCGTTTGACGGGTTTGCTTCTCGGGTCAACCGAGTCGAGCTTCGTGTTGTAATTTTTCCACTTCTCAAGAATTCGGGCCACGCTCTGGTCACCGGTCTTCCGGATTCTCGATTTTTTCTTTCTCGGTTCACAAGTCAGTAAAGAATTTTGGTATAGCAAAGCCATACTTGAATCTCTGCAACAGAACACAATAGAAAACCCGGGTAAGCTACACATATTCATTGAGGGATGCAAATCTCAAGAAACTATTGGTCTAATCACACTGAGCTAACCAAACAAAATTCAATCTTTGTCTAAAATTCACATAAAGCTAAATAAACCCTTCAAACAAACCCCACCATTCACATAATTTTCACATAAAAATCAGAAAAAAAAATCCTAATTATTCAAGAGCTGAATCTAAAGAACAGGGCATTTGAACCATATAAACTCAACTAAGAACAAACAAAATCACACAAATCAACAGGAAAACAGAAGGGGAAACTCGAAAAGACAACATGAAACCTCAACACACGAACCGTATTCATAAGCACGGACAACAACTACACATACCTCTGCCCAATAATCTCCTCGGACATGCGAGTTTTCTCCAAATCAAAACGTTATCCAGTAAAGTTCTCTAATCACTGTTGATTTTTGTGAGACCGCAAGCAAAGTGGAAGAAGAAATTTTGGATTTGGAGAAGACGGCTGTATTTATAGCCTTGCGCTGATATTCCCCAAATTTTTTAATTTGTGGCAAAAAAAATGAGATTTTTCTATTAGGTTTTTAGTGGTGACGTGGTGACGCGGACACCGAATATCTATGGCACGTGTCACGTGAGCTTTCTCAACCACACGATTTGTGTGGTGAGAATCGAGGGTTGGGATTGTTTCTGCTCCTATCGCTACGCGTACTGTTTTTTCTTGGGAGGTAAGCAACAGCCTGTCAGTGTAAAAAAAATATCTTGGCCTTCTGTTTTTACCCCGCGAAATATCTTGGCCTTCTGTTTTAACCCCGCAATTGTAGTTAAATTTCGAATGTGCCCATGGTTTACTAGCCAGTCTTATCATAAAACCTTAATTTTTTTTCCTCTACTGGACGGTACTTTGCATTACTTAATTTATACTTTTTTTTTTATTTTATTACAAATCATAAAATCACATTAAATGATATTATGATTAACCTTTTAAACTACTTTTTTTTTAACTCATTAAACTAGTTTTTTTATTAACATTAGTTATTTAATTTTTATGATATAACCAAACTTTTTAAAATTACATACACAATATAATAATATTATTTTAAATATATTTTATCTAACTAATTGTTCATAATAAAAAAAAAGATTGTAAAATTTATATAACTGCAATCAATATTAATATTAACATGTAAGTTAATAGTTTATATTTGTTCGTTCATTTTTACTAATGATAAAATTTATAAAATGTGATATGTTCATTATTTAATTTATAATTTAAATATTACATACACCTACATATAACATACAACATTTTATTTGCATATATGCATTTGTACTCGAATGCTAGTTCTTACTATTTGATATTAAAATCATCTAAACAAAAACTACCAATCGTGTCCAAATTACAAATTATGATTTTTTTTTATAAAATTTAAATTGTATTTTACTAGAAAAAATATTCTAACCTAAAAAAGGTAAAAAAAACGCACATTTTTTTTTTAAAAAAAACATTTTTATATCCAAATACCATGCCCTTTCATTATTTTTTTTCTATTATTTCCCTCTTTAGTCTCTACCGAGGGATTGAGTGGGGACCACAAAACAAGATGAGTCATCTCTATGCTTGCTTGCCAGGATGCCACGTGTCATTAGCCCACTCATATTTAATTCAAAGGTGGCGATTGCAGTGACGTTTCATATTTTCCATTGCCTTTTTTTTTTTTTAATCTTTGTTGCAGAAGAAGCGTCGATATTATACATATCTCCTAAAAATCGTAAGGGATGACGTAAATAGTAACACGTTTTCTCTTCCCATTAAGGGTTTTTTTGGTAACAAACCACTGCATCCAAAGCTATGCTCTTACTAATCCATTGGTCGACCCAGGTTGCACACCTGATAATGGTGGGTGAATCTTTCAGTAAAAGTTTTCTGCATCCACAAGAACTTGAACTCGAGACCTTATTAAGCAACATCAAACTACTTACCACTTAAGTCAACGATCCCGTTAAGGGTTTTTTTTAACATAAACAAAAGTCGTTTTGCATCTGCCCTTATCAATGGGCCTCGCCTTCCCGCTTCAACTTGTATTGGGCTGAAAGGCCCATGTTGAAAAAAATGACTTTCCGTGTAGCCCAATCCACGGACGAAATCCCCAAAATCGCAAAGATTCAAATTCAAAATCCCTAGCTTTTCCCACTCCACATTGGAGAAGAATGCAAAGCCAAAAACCAGCTTCGAGTGGCCAAAATGAACAATGAAGGTACAGAATATTACAGTTCATTATCTAGCAGATGTCTTCTTGTAGAACTACATAAATTTCCCAAGATTCGTTTGTTCATGTTTTCTCTTTACTCTTGGCTGATTGATTTCGTTATCCATCTTTTGGAAATGCTTCGGCCAAGCTTCTAAGTGGGTTTACTTGTTTGATTTCATACTTGTGAGCTCCCGTTGCCTGGCTGGTTATCGATTATCCGGCAAGTTCCTTCCTTTCTTTCTCTTAGTTACGAGCTATTATTGAAGGAAACTGAATCTGTTTCTTTTATTTATGAGCTATTCTTTTGATGGGCTGTTGAAGGAATTCAATTTGTTTCTTTTACGTTATGAACTATTTTTTGGATGGGCTGTCGAAGGAAACTGAACCGGGATGGAAATGAAATGTGTTTATGATTTGGTGATGAAGCTCAGTCACTTCATTGGTAATCTAAAATGTGTTTTTTTCACTTTTTTCGATTAACATGTGGAGTGACCTGTGTATAGATTAATTGTTGTGTGAGCTGATGAAAGTGTAGTACGATACTGGGCGGTTAATTCGAATGCCGTTGATTGGGCAGGCATAAATAACTCTTAAAGCGTTCACTATAAAATACCGGTTAGGACCAGAAAATGCTCGACCAAGTACCAGAAATAATACGGGGCGGCCAAAAATGTTCAAAACCGTTCCATTATTCTTTTTCCTTTTGGTTTTCACAAATTTTATATTTATGAACTTATTACTGTTTAAGTTGGGTTTATATGTTACTTATGAGATGATTGTAAATTTAACTAGTTTTTATTGTAACTGTTGAAATCGGTGGTTAGGCTTTGTTAAACCATTATCGTTGGCTCGACTGGTTTCTTTGTGGGTCCATTGCTTGCTCATATATTAAAATAGAGTCTTACAGTTCATGTAAAGGACTCATTGCAGGACCAAAGAATAGTAAAAACTTTTAAAAATAACTTCTTTCAATGTTTGGGGAAAGCAATACAACTACATTCAACAAACACTCTAGGTTCATATATGGTGCTTTGCTGGAGATATTGCATCATCTCATCTTGCATATTTTCCTATATAACCATCCAACAATGAAAAAAGAAAAAACAAGAACAGGCCCCAGTGGGGGGATAAAACAACAGTACAACTCGTATGCTTCTTTTGACCAGCATATTACTGATTCTTTTCTACTAGAAACCATAATTTGTTATGAAAATCTTTATGTTACTTCAACTAACAGACAGGAAGATCCTTAGGAGGCGCCTCTAACTTCTGAAGTGGATTAACTCCATCTTCAACCAGAAAAGCCATTGCCAAGCCCCACCCGATATGGACATCCAAGTGGCAATGCAGCAGCCACACCCCTGTTTACAGTTTAAAACTTATCCATTATCACTTTCAAGTAAAAAGTAAAAAATAAAAACTGTTAAACAAAAATGCTTGTGCTCGTGTTCGGGAAAGAAAAAAGAGGAACCTGGATTATCGGCCACAAATCTGATCACAGCCCATCCACCTACAGGCACACTGGCAGTGTTCCTCAGAGGGGGGTCCACCAGATTGAATTTCGACGAGTCCCTTCCCTGGTTGAAATTCCCAAAACCCTCGGCAATTATGTAGAAATCGTAACCGTGCAAGTGAATCGGGTGGTTCTCAGCAGTGAAGATGCTCGTCCCCTGCAGCACCACCTGAACCGTCTCCCCATACTTGATCCTGTACACCTTAGTCCCCCGCACGGGTTGCCACAGGGCCCGGCTCACGTTCCCTGTGTAGTCGAACTGAACTGGCGGGTTTCCAGGGAAATCGCTCGTGAAAACCCCTTGTATGCCCTGCTTGTGTGCCTGGAGCAAGGAAAAATTGGAGGGGAGCACGAACGAGACGTTGTTCA